GTATAAATTAGTTAAGGCGCGTTAATCGAGATGGCGGGTACGTTACGGCCTTCCGTACTTTTGTATGATTTTTAATAATATAATGGAAGACTTCTTTTATTAAAAATGCAATAAAATATTTTAAGGCCATTATTTCGTTGCGCTGGACTTGCATTTTTAAAAACACTGAGTTGTTTGTTACACCAAGCACCTCTGATAACGTAATGTCGACAAAGCTCGCATATGGTTCACTGAAGGGCACATCACCAGAAATACTTAGCCATATGCTAGTTTTTGTCAACCTTTTGTTATCGCGGATGCTTCTGATAATTGCATATTTTTGGTTAAAGCGCAAACCGTGACCCCAGCTCTCCCTTTAAGTAAAGGATAAGTAGTAAAATTAATTTTTACCACTTAATTTGCAGGAATGCTTGGATGCTACGATGAAGTCTCCTTAATACAAGAAGCAAAAAATATGTGCTATATGTAAGATATATCTAATTGGTATCTACAAAGTAATACCTCTCTCTCTTGCGGTGATCGCGATTTGAGGGTAAATCGGTTAACTGAGATACTGAGCAATCGGTGAAAATAGGGGCTTACGCCCTGCACCGGATCCGTTTTTCTAACGAACGACCAACATATTACGTTTTACTCCTTCGTCTGGTAGTGAAATTTACTGTGTATACATTTAATATGGTAAACTCTATTGAAAAAAAAACGGTACGAATATCCTTGTAAAGTTATTTGTCGTCGTCTATCCCTTTTATTGTGCTTATGGTGATTGTCTTCAAGTCGGTAGTACTATAAAAGTTGGAAACTTATATGTCAGTGAATTGTTGTTTTTGTAACGCAAATTTTGGCCTATAGATTATTAAAAATATTTTTTTAATTTAAAAAGTATATAAATTTAAATTTATATTTAAAAGTATGCATATATAACAAGTACAGTGGTTTTAAATTACGCAAGGCCCTTCGACGAGGGCCTCAATCTGCACTAAACTGTGTGTTGCCGCCTCAATTAACGGTGATCCCTAGCGATGTCAAAATAAGTTTCGACAGTATTTCGCCTTACTGGAAAAGACATGATTATCGTTCACTGTTTGCACGTGTGTTGGGTAATTTGTGCAGGTGAACGTGCGTCAGCTTACCTGTGAGCTAAATGCTGTCACTTGATGCGGTTGGTAGTAACCTCGATTTTCAAGTAGCGTGCTGTATAAGCACTGGGGTGCGTTGACCAAGATAAAAAATTAAACAGATGAGCATTAGGTGCTTATGTGATATTGATAGGAGAACATTACTAATAACGACGACAATGGAGACTTAAATTTCAATTTCTGGACTATAAGCCGTCATCAGCCGGCCGTAGCCAACTCCATATGTTGGTTAAAAGTCCAATGCTCCAACCATTAAGCCACGATTTCATTGTCTTGTTCGTTTAGATCGGGAATATTAGCTTTCTAATAAACAGGTCGCGGGTGCGAACATCGCAGGCTACAACACATCGGATTGGTCAGGGTTGGCTCATGATAGCTTATAAATTAGGAATGGTTATTCCAGTCCGCCTAGTCTCCGTCAGTAATGTTCTTTTGCCCATGGTATTAGCCATTGCACGGCTCCTGATGGGGCTCGAGAGTTAGCCTCAAAGCAAATAGAGACGAGGAAGACGCGTTACCAATCGGTGAAAGTTCATTAAACCAAGTTGCTGTGATGCTAACATCCTACCTACTCCGTTTTTGTCTTCATCAATAATATTTATTTAATTTAAAAAGCCATTTTGTGAAACAGCATACATGCCATTAAGTAATCCTGTTCGTCTCCTCTTTTTAAACAGAAAAAGCTGACAGAATGGCAGAAGCCTTTGACACGGATTGCTTGACTCTGACGAGGTACATTATCGCCGAGCAGGCAAAGTATCCGGATGCTACTGGTGAATTTACCCAGCTGATGAACGGCATTCAAACTGCCGTAAAATCTATTTCAAGTGCCGTCCGGAGTGTCGGAATTGCTCAGCTGTAAGTCTCTAAAATCTCACTCTCCACTGCTTGATGAGACCGATTCTCTACTTAATGTCATCCCTGCATATTTTAGATACGGTCTGGCTGGCGAGTCTAACGTTCAGGGCGAAGAGGTTGAAAAGCTGGACGTTCTTTCGAACGAGCTCTTCATCAATATGTTGAAGTCTTCCCACTCTGCTTGTCTGCTAATTTCGGAAGAGAACGAGGAATTAGTTCAGGTGGAACCGGAAAGACAGGCAAGTAACGCTCTTAGATAAACAACAAACTATTCTGTGTCCAACACACACATATTTTTAACTCTTTGTTGTTGTTGTTGTTATTATTTGAACCCTTTAGGGCAAATACATTGTTACATTTAACCCCCTGGACGGCTCCTCAAACATTGACTGCCTGGGCTCTATTGGTTCGATATTCGCTGTCTACAAGGCCTCGTCGATTGATCGCAAGCAGAAGGTCCCCCTATCCGAGGCTCTGCAGACGGGGCGAAATGTGGTCGCCACTGGTTATGCCCTCTACGGCAGTTCTACCATGATTGTCCTCTCTGTCGGCTCCGGCGTCAACGGCTTCACTCTTGATCCGGTCAGTCAAATGATTTGCTGCTACAATCTTTGACATATTTTTATTAGATGCATTAGTCATCAGGCCAGCAGTAACGTCAGTAAATAACTATTACTAATCAAATGTCAAACTGATTTATTTAAAGAAAAGGACAGTACCGGTAAAATAAGAGCCGACCAATGTTTTGGTCGCCAGTTCTCTTAAGTGACGCCTTTTGTTCGTTCACTTGGTGTTACTTTTTAATCCTTTAAGTGCCTTAACAACCTCCTAGTCGCCAGACCTCTCAATGCGACCTAATTGCTTTTATTAAGCAATCTATTGATTACACTCCCTTGGTTTCTTTAAAGCGTCAGTGTCTCTTTTATACTGCGAAATTTTTGCTTCACGTTCCAATTCTGCAATTCGTTTGGAGAAAAAATAACAGAGGTACATTTTTCCATGGCCGGATTAAATTTTGCGTACCACTTGTCCTACCACTTTTATTTAAATGTTTATTTCGTAGATATCCTTGGATCGTGTTATCGCAAAATAGTTAAGGCTAAACCGGTTAAACCCTAACTACTGCGATCTTCCAGGCCCAGTTCCTTAGAGAAAATAGAAGTCGTGAAAGCCAAGGTAGACGAGATTGTATTTGTACAGAATAAGTAGGAGAAGAATTAACAGAAGGGTTGACTCGGCCTGGGGTGGAGTTCGACTATGAGAAGCGAGAGAGAGAGCGCGCCGCAGCCTCGCGTCCGCCGCGCACTGGGGTGAAAGGTCGAGTGTGTGAGTTTTGCCAGCGCTGACCACAAATCCGGCGCATACCAGTGATCAGCGATACGAGAAATCGATTA